ACTGACTCCTGCAGGCCTACCAGCCCAAGTGCCTGGAAACTGAGCACAGGTACAGGGTGAGCACTGCCCAGCGCCTCAGGCTACAGGAGACAATCTGGCACACTACCACTGTAGCTGGGTAGGCAAGAAAATAGATTTTGGGCTCAAATACATCTGGATCCTAGCCTGGCTCTGCCTCTTTGAACCACTAGGCCATAATACTTCCCCTCAAGCCCCCTGAATCTGCTAAGGGTTGTTCCCACCTTCCCGGGGGACTTCACAGCAACCAGGCCACCCCCCCACCATGGCACCCCTCAGACAGTACTGTCATTACCGGGCTACATGCCTGCCTCCCCCCAACTGATAACGAGTTCCTTGATGACAGAAACTAACTCACATTCACATGTGTGTTCCCACTGCCCGGGGGCTCCCCAAGTGTTTACCAAACAAATGACTATTGGATGCATAAGCTAATGCACATGATCTTATTAAACAACTTTAGCAAAGATGTAACAGTACTTCAAGCTGTTCTCTAAACACAAAATTAAAACATTGAAAGTTTTATATTATGTTCTTGTACCTACAACACTGCAAAGCTCTCAAGTCATGGTAAGATTAGAAAAAGCAGTTAAGTACAATAAACACTGCACCTAGCTCAGAGCTCTGCATTTAAGAGGTGCTTAATAAATGCTGGCTGAGTAAACACGTGTTCCATAACCTCAAAAACATCAAGTCCTGGCCAGTGTGGCTCAGTTGGTTAGAGAACCGAAAAGTGGTAGGTTCGATGCAGGGTCAGGGCACATATCTAGGTTGTGGGTTCAATCCCGGTTGGGCACACATAGGAGGCGACTGGTTGACTGATGTTTCTCTCTCATATCAATGTTTCTGTTTCTCTCTCTCTCTCTCTCTCTCTCTCTTCCTTCCTCTCTCTAAAATCAATAGAAAACATATCCTTGGGTGAGGATTAAAAAAACAACAACAAAAACACATCAAAAACTGGGCATTTAATGCTCTTTTTCTGTAGTGGTCACTGGGGGAAAAGCCAAAAGACCCAGAGTTGCTACCCACACAGATCTGTGCTCCAGCAAAGCCCTGAACCACCCCCAGATGAAATACAGCTTCTTCCCCTCTACCTGCCACTGTCCAAGGTAATCTCCCAATTCAGGCCCCCGATGTTAGTCTCCCAGGAACGCATGATCCGCCCACCATTGGACACAGTGACTGCATCTGGAAGAGAAAAAACCATGGTGACATCATCTCCCAGATTGGAGCTCTGTAGCCTCCGAGGGCCTGTTAGCGGTAACCTTGCCTCTGATGTAAGAGCTATTTGGGAACACCCCTTCTCCTTTGCCTACCAGACCCAGTGCAAGGAATAAGGAGAGGGAGCCAACACCACGAGAGAAGCAAAGCAGGACTCTGCTTACCCTGTCCGTACAGCAGCATGGCGTCCACTGCCCCTTCCGCCGTGCCCTTGTCAACATGGCGCCACACTGAGAGACAGGAGAGTCAGACATTACTACAAAATAGAGAGAGGCATCCAAGAAGACAGGTGGGAGAAAACAAGAGAGGTCTTTGTTTGCACAGCAGTGCACAATTTTATTTCAAGGGAGGGAAGAATAACAGAGAACTGGCGATGACCCACTCACACTCACTGGGTAACAAGGGGAGGTCTCTGCACTCCCATCTCCACTATCACCTCATCAAGCATGTAAATGAACAATGACATGATTAACAAAACCTATATGATTCACAAGAAAAATAGTGATTATAAATTACATATCCATGATTTTAGTGCCTAAAAAATCCCTAAAAGCAGTATAAGTAATTGGGAAGGTGGCAATCCAAATCTTTAATGCAAAATAGGGTAATGTGTTTTTTGCAGCAATATCTACTTTAAGAATAGTTAGGACTTGGTCTGAGGGAATAAACTACAAAAGCCAGTAATAGGAATATATTAAATGACAAGACTAAAAAAAAATAAAATAAAGTAAGTTGTCAGAATCCAGTAAGAGATGCATCTTTTGGCCAACTTGTCCCTAACTTGGAACCAGCCAGGCAGACTTCGCAAGCCACAGACCATTCTGGATTCACTATGGTCAGCCTACAAAATTTACTCACAGATGTCCCCAGTCCGGGAATTTAAGGCTGCAATCACGTTCTTCTCTGTGGCCACAACCAACTTCTTGGATCCCGGGGAAAATTCCAAGGAGGCAAATTTGAGCTTCCCAATATACTGCTGTCTCCTAGAGAAAAGGGAAATGTGAGAGGCCAAATCCATCACTGCACAAAATGCTTTGGAAAAAGACAACTGCACAAACACAGGCTATCCGCATCATACCTATCCTAGGGCATGGGAGAAATGTTTGTTAATGAGGAGACCTGACCCAAAGCAGGATTTCTATACAATGTAGTCTGAAGCAAAGGGAACAAGAATAGCCATAACAGATGAAAAATACAAGCCTTCCTTCTACATGTAAGCACATGTTTATCTCAAGATCAGTGCCACCCCGAAGAGCACCTGGCCTACATCCCACAGAACAAACATTACGGTTCTCTCTGCAGTCATTAATAGTGGGACAAGGCACTCATAGGACACACGAGGGAAGAGGCACAAACCCTGCTGTCCATGAACATGCAATCCAACTTTTCCTTCTATTTTCACTGACCTCTGGAGAAAAAATTATGCAAATTTTACAACAAAACTCCATAGACCGGTTCAGGCTTTGTTCTCTACAACCTTTTCTAGCCCACACCATGTTCAGGATCCATTTGACCCATTACTCATATACTTTCTTGGGACTATACATATCTCATCACTTTCAACACTCTTACCTAAGCATAAAGAGAATGCAATTAGCTTCGTATGGCAGACTACCAAGTACATAGGAGGTGCTTTTGCACATTGTTATTAATGAAAAAGTGCTACATTCTCCAACAGAGTGGTGAAGGCCAGAGGAGGGATGGCAGGGGCTGGGTGGATGTGGGCAAAGAGGGGGGGAAGGGGGACATCTGTAATAGTGTCAGCAATTAAAAAAAATAAAGTACTGCATTCTCTAGCAAATTAATCACACATGATGCTTACACTGAATTCCTCGTCATGATGTTGTTTGGTCTGGTTTTTTTTTTTTTTTTTTTTTAAAGAAGAAACTAAGCTGGTAGTGGAGAGACAGGCTTATATTACATTTGACAGTTTCTGCCAGGATTTCCAACTACTTGACTCTCACTGTATCCAATGAACACGCCATGAAGTACACAGGACGATTATTACCCATTTTACAGGTAAGTAAATCAGAGTCCACTGAAGTCATCTAATTACTGTCAGAACCAGAATGTAAAACTAAGATCTTCTGACTCTAAACCCATGCTCTCTTTTAAAATATCATTATCTGGACTATAGAGTAATGCCTGCTCATTGTAGAAATGTGAAAAATATACAAAAGTATAACAAAGAAAATAAAAAATGTCCCAAATACCACCACCATAAACGTATTAACATGTTGGTGTATGAACATGTTGGTGTATTTCCTTCCATTTATTTTTCAGCTTGTAAATTGCATATGCCTAGTGTTTGCTACATTGGAATCCTACATGTTATATTGTGAGCATTTACCCCATCATTAAAAATGTGACATGTTGCATTTGTCACCCCGTCTTATATCACACACTTATACAGGAGGTCCTGGAATAATGTTGTTTCATTGTAACGATTTGCGTGGGGACTTAACTCTTGCTTATATCAATTAGCCTATGGGAAAATTGGTTTTGATGTATGTGGTTTTGTTTAAAATTGCAGAACCTACTGAATGGCATTAAGTGAGGGCTTGCTGTATACCTGCCCCACAAGCTCCTTCACATCTCTATCCACAGCACCTGGAAGAACCACTGACCACTACAGGCACTCCACAAATACGGGAATTAACTTGCCTGATTCAGAAAAGACTTCACAGCGGAGATATCTGAGTGGGGACCTGAAGGTTGAAATGCCCCCTGAACAGCCACAATAATGGGTAACATTTACTGACTGCACCCCATGAGCCAGGCACTGTGCTCATTTATGGGAAGTATCTCGATCATCCTTACAACCACTGTAAGAGGTCATGTACCAGTATTAGTATTAGTATTAGTATTAGTATTAGTAAACCATGTTACAGATCATGAAAACACGGCACAGAATGGTCAAGTCACTTTCCCAAGATCACACAACCCTTAAATGGCAAAACTGAGATTCAAACAAAAGCAAGCCAGCTCCAAGGCCTCAAGGAAGAAGGTGAGGGATTTGGGGGGGCGGGGGGGGGGCGGTAAGTGAGTGAATGGCACCTCCATGAACCGCACCTCTGGCCAATGTCAAACTTGCGCGGACCTGATCTGAGGCCACAGCTGGGTGGGGCGGGAAGGGAGGCGAAAGGAAAGAGACCTCCGTTTAGGGCGTGTAACACCCAAGGTCCTGTGCACACGCCCGCGAGATGCCCATTCGAGGAGGCGTGAGAGTCCCCTGAGGGCTGTCGGCCTCTGGCACGCAGGTCAGAACCTGACGTCACCGAGAAGCGGCCTGAGGGGGAGGCGGGAGCGGTGCGCCGACCAGACCCTGAGCCTGCGGGACGTCACCCGGCGTCCCGGGCTGCGACCTGCACAGTCTCGCAGGGCGGCCTAGAAGCGCCCTCACGTTTGGTTTAAGGCTCTGCTGTCGCCACCTTAAAACTTCACTTCTGAACAAGGGTCCCACGTTTTTTATTGCACTGGGCCCCGCACGTCATGAAACCGAGCCGGTCCTGCTGCCTGTATCCCCCCTCGCTTTAGCAGGCAGGAGACAGGTACGGGCCAGATAGCCGCATATTCCCCGAAGGGACCCCGCACGCACGCACCAATCAAACTTGCCCACTTGGTCTTCGTAGACTGCAGCCGCAGGGATAAGCAGGGCAGCCCACAGCCAGAACCGACAAGCCGCCGCCGCCGCCGCCGCCGTGATGGGAGCCCGGCCCCGCCCGCCGCCGGCCCGGCATGCACCGCGCGCAGGCGCCCTCGCCGCGAACCATAGAGTTGGAGCCACACGCGAAGCCCTCGGTGGGGCGCTCAGGACTCGGAAGTCCCCGGACGCGCGGAGAGTCGCCCTGGAGACGTGGGGAAGGGCGCAGGTGGCGGCCGGCGGAGAGGCTGACTGCAGCGCAGATTGGGTCAGGCACTTGCGAGGACAGCTCCCGAGGGCCGTCCCAGAGGCCCCCGCGCCGCCGGGGTCCTAACAGGCCGCGCCTCCGGGGTCCTAACAGGCCGCACCGCCTTCCGTTGCACGTGCCTGCGGAGAGATGCCCAAGTCCAAGCGCGACAAGAAAGGTGGGCAAAGGGACGTGGGGACTCAGGGGAGCCCCGCTGGCTGGGTGCCGGCTGCGATGGGGGCTGGAGGACCTTTGGGGGCGCGGAGTGGGACACCCAGACCTTCTCAGGGAGCTTCGCTGCTAGTGGCGCAGGAGCACTTGGGGACGGGGAGCCTCCCAGGGCGCTGGAGCCTGGCTGGGGCAGGGGAGCGGAGACCGTGTTGCCGGCTCGAGCGTCTTCCCGAGGCCTGCTGGGCCGGGAAACGGCTTCCGAGCGCCCAGCTGCGCCCGGTCTCTCCCTGGTCCACCTTTTCCACCGCAGCCCACCTCCCTTCGTTGTCCGCGCTGTCGCCACCCTGGCCGCCTCTCCCTTCCTTCAGCACGGACGTGCTCTCGCATCTGGTTCTGTACTGGCAGCTCCTGTGGCCCGGCCTGCTTATGACCCAGTCTTCCTACGGCTGACGTTCTCACTTGTCAGTTCATATGGCACCTCCTAAGCGAGCATCCCGACCATGGGGGCCTCTCTCCCCCCGGCTGTTTGGCACATTCACTCAACAGATATTTAGGGGCCTGGCTCTAGGCAAAGGAGGATACAGCAAGGAAGGCCTAGAGCCCTCATTGAGCTTAGCATTGTAGTCATGGGAAGTATGTCTCTCCCCACTATACCAAAAACTGAATAACTAATGTCAGATAGTGATGAGTCCCATAGAGTAAAAGTGAGAGAAACAGGTGCTGTAATTTTGTTTACTGTGACCAGAGAAGGTCTCTGATGAGGTGGCAAACGAGCAGAAACCTGAAGAAAGGAAGTGAACTACCCACGGAGTTACCTGGATAATGGCTTTCCAAGGAGAGGAAACAACAGTCAAACACTGACTGACAGGAGGGCGTGTTCGACATGTCCTGGGACAAGAGGCCAGTGTGGCGGGAGCAGAGGGAGCAGAGGGGGTAGGAGGATTGGGCAGAGTGAGCGGGCTTTTTAGACCTTTGCAAGGAATTGCCTTTCAGATCCGGATGAAATGTGCCTGAACAGAGGAATGACGTTTAACTTTACTTTTAAAAGATTGCCCTAGTTGCCTTGTTGAGAATGGACTGGGTAGATGGAGGCAAGGATGGAAGCCGCAAGACCAGCAGTAATCTAAGACAGGATGAGGTTGGCTTGGTCCACAGCTGTAGCAGCGGAAGTGATAGAAAATGGATCGTTGCGCTGTGTTTGCCCTCCTGTGCTGCACTTGCCCTGACCGGCGGGGTTGCCTTTCTGTGTGTATGCCTTGTGAAGAGGGACTAGGTCCCAGGCAGGATCAATAAGAGGCACCCTGGGCTTTGCATCTGATGCTCTTCTAAGTGTTTGTGGGTTCTTGGAGGGGAGCCATGATGAGATCTGGCAAATGCCAAACCCTTCCTGGTAAGGGACCATTTGGGGCCCAGCTGTTGCTACAGTAGGGGTGCTTACTTTTCCCCAAAGTGGTATTGCTACATCCATGGGTCCAAACTGCAAAAGATGTAGCAGAGGAGGTCAGTGATGAGCCCCCAGACTTAATTCATTCCACAGCAGAGGCCAGCCATAGATGGTCTCTGTGCACCATGGCCAAGAGCTGAAAGGGACCTGCCTCAGCCAGCAGGCTGGGTCTGCCACTGAAAGCACTCCGGGAGCAGGAAGAAGACCCACCCCACACCGCAGTACGGAATTCTAGGCTAAACTAAGAGGAGTGTAGGAATATCTAGCATAACAGGAAATATATCAGCGGATCTCCCAGGTCCGGAACAACAGAAAGCACTGAGGACCCTGGGAATAGCCTGGCTGCCTCTCCCCAGACTGGTTTGGTCCAGACGATACTGGAGGTGAGAAAAAAATGAGTCCAGGACACCCAGCTTGTCTCTCATCATGTCTCCTTTTTCTTTTTTGTATTAGTTTCCTTAACCAAAACTGCTAAGAAAGGCTTGGAACTGAAACAGAACCTGATAGAAGAGGTAAGAGCTTGTTCTTTTTATTTTTCCAGACCTTGTATTTGGTTTAGAAATGTGGGTATAGGACGGTACATTGAGGAAACATTCTGTTTAAAAGGAGGAAAGGAAAGGCTGGTCCAGCCCTTTTGCTCCAGTGGCAGCACCAATAAAAATTCTCAGAGTGACGATTTCCAGCTTTGACTGAGCTCTTACTCTGCCCTGCACGGGGCTGTGTTCCATCTGTATCATTCCACTTCATCCTTCATAGGAGTTGACAGTGTCACTGTTTTGCGGTTGTGTAACTGAAGCTTACAGAGATTTGTTAGCCTGCCTGAGGTCAAAAAACTGGGAGTTGTCAGGCGTGGGTAAATGCACCAACTCACTGTTTGCACTATTCCGGGGGCTGCAGGCAGGGTAAAAGGTGTCTACTTAGCTGTGGCCAGCAATGTGGACAGACCAGGGCGGTGAGGGAAGTGGCCACAGATAAGTCAGAAACCTGGGAAGACCATGGGATCTTGGCCCATGGCTCAGCTTCCCCGACACTTTGAGGTCACACCTGCTCTGCTCAGGGATCCTGGCTTCAAGGCCTCCAGTTCTGAACTTCCGGTCGTAAGGGACCTGGAGCATATTCTTCCCCATCGGAGGCCAGAGTGTTGCCCAACCCGTGGTGCCCCTTGAACCTCAGAACCCCATGAATTATTCCACAGCTTCGGAAATGTGTGGACACGTACAAGTACCTGTTCATCTTCTCCGTGGCCAACATGAGGAACAGCAAGTTGAAGGACATCCGGAACGCCTGGAAGCACAGCCGGTGAGCAGGCAGCGGCCAGCCCTTTGGAGTGTGGAAAGGGCCACGCTGCTCAAAGCCCAGAGGCAGTTACTGACTCTTGGTTGCCCGAGTGACACAGATGGCATCTGAAGGACAAAGTGCCATGCCGCCACTGGAGGGCACTTTTTAACTGTGATAGCTGGTTTTGCACTGAACTTCTTGGGGGCTGGACTTGGTCATTGCTCAGGGAATGTTTGAGCATTGACCCCTCCAGGAAAGGGGGCTCCCTTACCCCTGGGGTCTAGTCTTTTTAGGAACACCCTGTCAGTTTTAGGTCAGGATGTGCTCTGGGATGCCACAGGAGCCGACAGCAGGCTGTACAGGCCATGTGGCTGGTACCTGTCCTTGGGCTGGAATGATGACAGTGCGGATGATGATTCTGATCTGTTGCTGCACCAGCACTGGTTCAGACCATTAACGGGCCTCTTCAGACGGGGAGGGCAGATATCCACATAAATAATATTCAGAGTAGGCTGGTAGGCATATTGGGAATGTTGGGCCGATAGGCCGATAGGCAGGAAACTGGACTGGAGACAGTGGCAGGGCTCCATGGAAGAGTAGGAGTCTGACCATACCTCCAGCTACAAAGCAGGAGTAGAGCTGGTTTGCACTTAACTGAGGGGAGGGCTGGGCAGGCCACCTCCTTCACGGACCCCTCCTCTCTCTGCAGGATGTTCTTTGGCAAAAACAAAGTGATGATGGTGGCCTTAGGTCGAAGCCCAGCTGATGAGTACAAAGACAACCTACATCAGGTGAGTCTCTGGCCCTCACCCGGAGGGGCCAAAGCTGCCTTCTCTCCTGCTGCTCTCACGTGACATGCATCCCAGCCGGCCAGCTCGGGAAAGCAAGGTCTGGCTTTAAGCTCCGGCTTTCTCGATCCAGCTGTGACCATCAAAAATGCCTCCAGATATTGCCAAATGTGGGGAGCAGGGGTGAAAATTGTCCCGTCTAAAACCACTGCTCTAATGTGACCCGACCTACCCCCTTTTGTTCTTTAGGTCAGCAAGAAGTTGAGGGGTGAAGTTGGTCTCCTTTTCACCAATCGCACTAAGGAGGAAGTGAATGAGTGAGTGTTTTTGAAGCGTGGTGGGGACGAGAAAGGTTGTTGAGGACTCTGGGGAAGGAATAATCCAGGGACTTTGTACAGGAGAGACAGCAGCTGGTTCCTGGAACCCATTACCAAGTCTTTATTCCTAGCACTGACTTCAGGTGGGCTGGTGGGCCAGTCAGGAACCTCCCCTCCAACGCTTTTCATTCCTCTAAGGTGGTTCACGAAATTTGCGGAAATGGACTATGCCCGAGCTGGAAACAAAGCAACGTTCACCGTGAACCTGGACCCGGGGCCCCTGGAGCAGTTCCCGCACTCCATGGAGCCACAGCTGAGGCAGCTGGGCCTGCCCACCGCCCTCAAGAAGGGTACGGGGAGGCCCCTGGAGCTGAAGGGTCACAGCTGAGTGGCCAAGAGCACAGGCTCCCAAACCTGACAGGCCCCCGCTCCTCCCCTTCCTGGCTGAGCAGGTTATTTCTACCAGCTTCCATTTTCTATTGAGAAAGTGGGGCTGAGTGTCTGCCTCAGGGTTGAGGTGGATGTGGACAGGAACTTATGGCCAGTACACAGCACTCAGGAGACAATGGGGGAGGCAGTCACTTCTCCCTAAATACGCCACAGGCTGCTGAACACCGATTAATCCGTGTCCCTGTGTGTGCGCATTGGTGGGGGGACAGGTGGCCACGCAGATTCCTCCCAACACTGGGCAGCGGACAGAAAGCTCTGCCAGAAGTAACTGCTTGCCCCCCCCCTCCTCTGCAGGTGTGGTGACCCTGCTGTCCGACTACGAGGTGTGCAAGGAGGGCGACGTGCTGACCCCAGAGCAGGCCCGAGTCCTGGTGAGTCCGGCCTGGCCCGCCCAGCAGTCTGCAGACCATGGCGGGAGGGACCAGAGACTCCTGATCACACCCGCTCCTCCTGACTCGGTTCCTTTGTCTCCTGCAGAAGCTTTTCGGGTATGAGATGGCTGAATTCAAGGTGACCATCAAATACATGTGGGATGCACAGTCCGGAAGGTTCCAACAGATGGGAGATGACTTGCCAGAGAGCGCGTCCGAGTCGGCAGAAGAATCAGAGGAAGATGACGACTGCTGACGGGCACGTGGGACTGAGGGCCTCCCGGCCGTGCCAGGTGTCATATTGACCACACTGGACTGGCGCCGCCCCTCTTGGGGGAGCAGCTGTTTGTTTTGCTGTGATGAAGACGAGAGGGCAATAGGGACAGACTGTTTACCTACAAAGAATAACTGTCTGCAGGGTGTCTCCCTGTAGGTGGCAAAGGAACTTTTCTCAGAAAAACAGGCCTTTGGGTTTGGACTTTTGTTCGGATTCCTAAGGTTCCTTTTGTTCACCACCTGAGTCAGCTTCCAGCACTAGTTCCTGCGAGACTTCTGGGCACAGGAGAGCAGCCTCGGGGCTTCTCTTCCCTGGCCCTCACTGCCCTTGCCTGAAACAGGTTCGCTGAGAAAATTGGGCACTTTGGCCCTGAGTGGAATGGCTCAGTTAGTTGAGCATCGTCCCATGCACTGAGAGGTTGCTGGTTCCATTCCCAGTCAGGGCACATGCCCAGGTCGTGGGCTCAATCCCCAGTAGGGGGCAGGCAAGAGGCAGCTGATTGATGTTTCTCTCCATGCCCCTTCCTCTAAAATCAATAAAAACATTTTATAAAAAGAAAAGCAGGCAGCTTGGCTGCTCTTCCTACCCCTACACACACTCCCAAACCAGAGCTAACAGGCTTCTGGAGGACCAGATGACAGGCTTTGGCTAGGACCAGAGTAAAGCCCCTGGGGAAATCGAGTGTTAATGTTCCACAGCTTCCTGCGAGGTCTTCTTGGTGGTGACTCTAATGATAGGGTTTTGCCCAAATTGTTCTATTAGTAAATGACTCAGTGAGGCCATTTCTGAATGAGAGAAAACCTACTTCAGGTTCAGTGGCCATTTATCGTGTGTTGAAGGGCCACCTCCAGTCCCTCCTGAGAGAGATCAGGCTACAGTCAGCGCAGGAGGCTGGGGAGCCCTTCCCACTGCCGCTGCCCTTCAATGGAGAGTCCGTACTCCTGCGCCCTTCTCCCCAGCCCTTGGGAAGACAGGAAGGGCCGCTGGCAGCAGAAGAAACAAGCGCACAGGTTTGTTCCGGGCCTGGGCTACCCGTCAAGTGCCTGCTTTATTCCGACAGGAAACGCTGGAGCAACTCACGGCCCAGCCTTTACACTTTGTGAAGGCAACTGGGAGGATTCCAAGAAAATAGGAGACATTTGTGAACAGATGATGAGAAAAGAACAGGCTAAATAAGGCAGCTTAAGGCCAGGGTGAGAGAACGAACGGTGACAGGCGTAGTGGACCCTCCGCCACCTCCAGCCAGGACGAGCCTAACGGAAGTAGTTGGGACACTCATGGGCAACCAGGTGCCAGGCTTGATCAAAGGCCTGCACAACAGCTGGCTCCAGGGGCCCTTGCTCGGTGGCTGCCAGGTTCTGTTCCAGCTGCTCCAGGCTGGACATGCCCAGGATGACCGCATCCCTGTGGGCACCCTGGAAGGGGAGGTGGATAGACATCAACACACCGGTACACAGTGCTGCAGTCATGCACACCCGCCAGCCCTGCCCCTGCTGGATTTGGGTCTGATGTCTGTTTATACCTTCTGTTACTCCAGAAAAAACTTACCTTGCCTTCAAACAGCTCGGAAGCCCTGCCTCCAGCCTCAGCAGACAGACCTAAGTTCAGAGCCTCTACACTCGGCAGCTGGGTAAACCTGGGTTACTTACTTGACCTCTCTGGACTTCAGGCTTCCTGAACTTCGCAGGGTGATTGTGGGAATTAAAAGTTTGTGAAGTACTTTGCTTCAGGCCTGGCACTTAACAGGTGCTCAGTAAAGGGAGCCAGACAATGCCCCAGCTGGGGGAGGGGAAACAGCAGGGAGAGGACAACCCCACCAGGGACAGAGCTGGACGCTGCAGAGCCGGCAGCCAAGGATGGAATAAATGCTAATGGTTATGAAAGGTAGGTCTCAGATGTTCATGTCCAGTCATGTGTAGCCGTGGGACCCTGGTCAAGTGAAATAGCCTCTGAGCCAGTTTCCTCAATAAAATTGGAATTATGTTGCCCTGCTGCCCTGCCTGAGTGGCTCAATAGGTTGGAGCATCATCCAGTACACCAAAGGGCTGCAGGTTCAATTCCTGGCCAGGGCACATACCTAGGTTGCAGGTTTGATCCCCCGTTGCAGCACATACCAGAGGCAACCAATCAATGTTTCTCGAATCAATGTTTTTCTCTCCACCCCACCCATCTCCATTCCTCTCTTAAAAGAAAAAAGAAAAAAAAATCAGTCTTCGAGTGAGGATTAAAAAATAAAAATAAAATTAGGATGATACCTAATGAGGCCAACAGTATTTGTGACAGGGCACTAAAGGAACTTAGGAACAAGATTATCACCCAAAAGAACTGGGCCATGGAGAAATTTCAGAGGAAGCAAAGGAGTAATCTCAAGGCACCAAATAATTGTGTCGCCCTCTCCCTTCTTCCACCCCTCCAACAAAGGGAAAACAGAAGCAGAGCCTCCTGGGATGGCTGGGTTACCTGGAGCTGTGAGTGGTGGTACATCCATTGCAAGGCAGCTGAAGTCATGCTGGGGGCACTGCTGCCATATGCAGCCTGCAGGGCCTTCTCCACCAGGGCAATGGCCTTGAAGTGGTGCTCCTTCCAGAAGCTGGGCAGGTGAGAGGGGTGGCACAGAGGTCAGTAGCATGGGGTCAGTCACACTGGGGCCACAGGCAAAGAGCCAACCAGGGCAGCTGTGCTCACCCCAACCCTACAGCATGGGGTCTGGGGGGGGGGGGGGGAGGGTCCTTTTTAGCAGTGGGTCTCCTGCCTTATTAGACAGCAGAACCACTCAGGATGTGGCTCTCTCACCAGAGACCTCCACGACATCTTTATTCCTAAAAACACAAAGCCTGCCCTCACTTTCCCAGTGGAGCAAAGGTGGCTGGTGCAAAGGGCAGGCCCCAGGCCTCCTGAGCCTCAACCCAGGGCTCTTTCCTTCCCTCTGGGCAGGTGATGAGCATTTCCCAGGAACAGCTGTGGCTTGGAAGACCACCTGGCATTAGGTCCAGGGATCCTCATTTCCTCCCAGAGGTCCCAAGAAAACAAGAACCCCACAGAGGGTTTGGTAATTCCTGCAGGAATCCAGACACAGGTCCAGGCTGCAAGGGAAGGCCTGGAGCCCACAGGAAAGCAGCCTAGAACTTCTCCACTCAGATATCAGGACAACAGCCCCACCCCCAAACCCCTAACACAGACTTCTCCAGCTCACCGATCCCTGTAGATCTCAGACCAGCTATTTCCAAAGAAGCGGCCCACAGGCTGTTTCCCGTCCTTGTCCTCATACTTGTACTTGCCGGTCAGCAGGCCCCCTGTGGGAAGGCTGCAGTCAGATCCCCTGACCTGCCTTGTTCCCAGAGGCTCTTCTGGACTGGACTGGGGTAGGAGCCCCAGGAAGGATGGAAGACACAGCCCAGCCTCTTGTCAAACACCTCCCTGCCCCCCAGGACCAGGAATGCCCACCCACCCCAGGAGGAGCCTTGTCCCCACAACAGCCCGTACCTGCCAAAGGGTTGTAGGCGTAGAATCTCAGTCCAAAGTGCCTGAGGCAGGGGAAGAGCTCCGTTTCCACCTGCCGGGTGGTGGCGTTGTACATGCCCTGCAGGGAGAAGGGCCGGCTGGAGAGGGTGCACATGTCAAGGGAAAGGACCCAGGCAACCGTCTTTCAAAACCCTCAGTCAAAACCTGTCCGGGACTTCAGCAATGATTTCCCAGATCACGAGTGGTGGTAGGGGATGGGGAGACAGTGTTGGGCCCCAGGAAGGGAAACTAGACTAGAACTATCATTCCACAAATATCTGTGGGCGCCAACTGTGGGAGGGACACTGGGCTTCCAAACACGAGTAAGTCCAGCAAATCTCTGTCCCCAAGAGATGTTAGAGGCGAGTTAAAGACACAGAGAGGAGACGGATGATCACAACAAAGGCGGATTCTATGATTATGGCAGGTGCTCACTGAACGTATGCTGATTAGGTCTGGAGATGAGAGGCCCCTCGGGAGCATCAGGAAAGAGCACTTCTACCAGGGCGAAGGGGGAGGAGTGTTCCGGGCTGACGTGCAGAGCAAGGAGGCAGGAAGGATGGGACCAAGGTATTCACGTAGGCAGAAAGGGGAGCCAGGGCCAGAGCAAGCAGGTCCCGGCTGGCCAGGCTGAGGAGCTTGCACGTCATCCTGAGGGCACCTGGGGCTCATATGCAGGCTGTGAGCAGGGGAATGGATGCTATGGAGAGGGCATGGAGTCAGTCAGAGGGGCCAAGAGAAGTCGGGATCAGCAGGAGCTCTGGAGACCGAGGCCCCTGCAGACCTGCCCCGCACCTGGTACACAGTGGGAAGGATCCAGCCGTTGCTCTTGCAGAGGGTACAGATCTCGGCCACCTCCCAGGCTGCATAGTTGGAGAGGCCAAGCTCCACAAACTTGCCCTGCAGGGGAGAGGTGGTGGTCAGAACCCAACACATTCCAGGAGACCAGGAAGAGAAGACCACAGTGAAGACCCTAGGAGTGACCCTTTAGGGCAGCCCTGGAGCCTCCACTCTCCTGGGTAATGACAGGCCAAAGAGGGAGCAGCAGACCTCCTCCCGGAGCTCGGGGTGCCACCCTCACCTCCTGGTGAAGCTGGTGGCAGGCACGTAGCGTTTCTTCCACGGGAGTGCCATGGTCAGGCGCATGCAGGTAGAAGAGGTCCACCTGGGAGCATTGCAATCGCTTCAGTGATGTCTCCAGCTGGGACCGGAGACTGGCAGGCTTCAGGGACTTCCCATCCCAGGGATTGGCCTTAGTGGCAATTTGCACTTTGGGGGAGAATGTAATAGTTGAGAGACTTATTATAACCACTTACTAGCCATGTGACCCTGGCTAAATTATTTAAGTTCCCTGAGCCTCGACTCTATAATCTGTAAAATAGGCATGATAATGGTGCTGTCTTCATTGGGAGATCATGAGGATGAACTACATGATCTTACATGTAAGTTCTCAATGTTCACTGCTGTTATAACTACTAGAGGCCCAGTGCACGAATTCGTGCACAGGTGGGGTCCCTTGGCCTGGTGGACGATCAGGGCCAATCAGGGCCATTTAGCCAGTCCTGACTGGGGCCAGGAGGGACCATGGGAGGTTGGGCCGCTGCAGGAGGTTGGCTGTGGGAGCGCACTGACCACCAGGGGGCAGCTCCTGAATTGAGCTTCTGCCCCCTGGTGGTCAGTGCGGTCCTTCAGTCACTTAGGCTTTTGTATATATAGATTATCCTATCTAATAAAAGAGAAACATGGCAATTAGCCGTATGGCCGCTACCCTTCCCATTGGCTAATCAGTGAGATATGCAAATTAACTGCCAGCCAAGATGGCGGCCGGCAGCCAGGCAGCTTGAAGTGAACAGGGAGGCTTCTTTGCTTCAGTGACGGAGGAATCCAAGCTTCCCCGCCTGCGCTGCGGCCTCTGAGCTTGAAGTTTGAAACATTGTAAGAAATATAGAAGCTAAACAAAACCCCAGAAACCGGCTTTAGTTAGCCAGGCTTCAGCCAGCAAGACCGCAACATTGTTTCGAATACAGAAGGTAAACAAAGGCCAGAAACCTGCTTTCAGCAGCCGAGCCTCAGAGAGAAAGCCGGCTCTCAGCTCCAGTGACAGGCATAAAAGGTAAATAAATGCCAGAATAAAAAAAAAAGAAAGAAAAAAAGGAGAGGTTTGGAGCTTCAGTTGCCCACCAGCCTGAAAACAGCCCTCAGCCCCTCACCCAGACTGGCCAGGCACCCCAGTGGGGACCCCCACACTGAAGCAACAAGATGGCGGCTAATTTGCATACTGAAGGCAGGCAGCAGCAGGCAAGGCTGTCTGCGGTTTGGGACTCAGATCTGTGACCCTGCCAGGCGGGGGGCACTGCGGGAGGCTGTCCGCTGTCCCAGGACCCGGATCTGTGACCCTGCCGGGCAGGGTGCACCGCAGGAGGCTGTCCACAGTCCAGGACCCAGATCTGTGACCCTGCCAGACGGGGGGCACCGCGGGAGGCTGTCTGCAGTCCAGGACTCGGATCTGTGACCCTGCCGGGCGGGGCGGCAGTGCTTGAGGCTGTCCACTGTCCCAGGACCCAGATCTGTGACCCTGCCAGACAGGGGGCACCGCGGGAAGCTGTCCGCAGTCCAGGACTCGGATCTGTGACCTTGCCGGGCGGGGCGGCAGTGCTTGAGGCTGTCCGCTGTCCCGGGACCCAGATCCATGACCCTGCTGGGCGGGGGGCAGTGCTTGAGGCTGTCCTCGGTCTCGGGACCCAGATCTGTGACCCTGCCAGGCGGGGGGCAGTGCTTGAGGCTGTCCACGGTCTGGGACCTGGATCCATGTCCTCGCGAGTGGGGCGGCAGTGCTTGAGGCTGTCCGTAGTCCCAGGACCTGGATCTGTGACCCTGCCGGGCCGGGGGCACCACAGGAGGCTGTCTGCAGTCCGGGACTCGGATCTGTGACCCTGCCGGGCGGGGGGCACCACAGGAGGCTGTCTGCAGTCCGGGACTCGGATCTGTGACCCTGCTGGGCGGGGGGCAGTGCTTGAGGCTGTCCGTGGTCCCGGGACCCGGATCTGTGACCTGGTGGGCAGGGGGGCAGCACGGGAGGCTGTCTGCAGTCCGGGACCCGAATCTGTGACCCTGCCGGGTGGGAGTCAGTGCTTGAGGCTGTCCACGGGACCAAGACATGGATCTGTGACCCTGCCAGGCGGGGGGCAGCGCTTGAGGCTGTGCACGGTCCTGGGACTCGGATCCGTGACCCTTCACAGCGGGGAGGCAGCCATCAGCGCCCAGGAGTGACTGCGCAAGATCCGCCTCCTGGCCCAGAAGGTGCAGGATCGCAGGGACAGCCACCGTGGCGGGCCAGACTGACGTCCTCCTGGCTGCACCACGGGGGTTTGCAGATCTGCAAAGCCAGAGGCCTCCGGTGTGCACATCCCCCCTGGCATGCGAACATCCCCCAGCACACTGTCACCCTCCCGCGCCTGCAACAGTTGCAAACCAAGGCGTGCACAAGTTCCCCCCGCCTCTCCACCGCACTTCCATCAACCCAGCATGCCTAACACCCACACAGGATGTGCACACATCCCCTCTGATGCGCTCACGTCCTTTGGAGAGTGTCTGGGTGTCCTGGGTGCTGAGAGTGGGCGCCTGTGAGATGACAGTGAGAGGGCGGAGTGGTGATGCCCTGTTCCCACGGAGGCCAGTGCAGCTACGAGATCACCTCTGGGGGGTTAATGCAGGTGCTGAGGCGGGAGCAGGTGCAGACAGACACACCTGGTGGGTGCGGGTGGCCCTCTCTGAGGTGCCTTCGGTCAGCGTTCAAGATCAAGAGCCCAGAGGCAGAGAGGAATTCCGTCCTCTCAGTGAAACAGTGGGATAGTCGGGGCGACTGTAGAGGAGGAATGTGCACTTTGGGTGCCAGCACCCATGAGCGAAGGCTGCCCTGACTGAGCCTTGCTTGCTTGGGGCCTAGCACACTCCTGCCGGGCAGCGGGTGACAGGACATGCTTTTCCGAATTAATGAGAGAAAATGTTGATTCTCCTGCTACCCACGAAGGTGGAAAGTGAAGTGGGGAGACATGTGGGGAATGAGCAAGGTTCCCTGTCTGGGGGTTCCAAATCTGCTGTTGGTTTCTTTCACCACTGACTAGAGATATACAGGGTGTCCCCCCAAAATGTATACACACTTTGAATACCTACTAATTCCAATGGTTTTAAGCATAAGAAAGGAACAACAATGGAGCAGTTATCTGTTAAAAGTGTGGGCACAAACAGATAGTTGGACATTCCCTGAGGGGTCTCAGATTGGAGAGGGTGAAGGCCAGACTGAGGGGCCCCTTCTCCCCGCCCCACCCCAGTGCACGAATTTCATGCACCGGGCTACTAGTCATAAAACTGCTGGCTGTGCCAAGTCTTGCACTGGAGGCTGAGTACACAGAGATGAACTAAACACACTCGATCTCTACCCTCAAGGAGCTCAGAGTCTAAAACAGTGGTTCTCAACCTTCCTAATGCTGTGACCCTTTAATACAGTTCCTCATGTTGTAGTGACCCCCAATTTCATTGTTAGAAATTGAACATAATTAAAGCATAGTGATTAATCACAAAAAACAATATGTAATTATATATGTGTTTTCCAATGGTCTTAGGCTACCCCTGTGAAAGGGTCGTTCGACCCCCAAAGGGGTCACGACCCACAGGTTGAGAACTGCTGGTCTAGAAGGTGAGATTACAATACGGTAAATACACAGAAAAGCACCAGTGCCCAAGGAGCCCAGAGAAGGGGTATGTGGTCAGCCTGGGACTGCCAGGGAAGGCTTCCCCGAGGGGTAACCCCCAAGCTGAGTCTCCCAGGATGAGTCAGAGTCAACAAGGAAGGCCAGGAAGCATATTCCAGAGCAGGGGTGGGCAAACTTTTTGACTCGAGGGCCACAATGGGTTCTTAAACTGGACCGGAGGGCCGGAACAAAAGCATGGATGGAGTGTTTGTGTGAACTAATATAAATTCAAAGTAAACATCATTACATAAAAGGGTACGATCTTTTTTTTTTTAGTTTTATTCATTTCAAATGGGCCGGATCCGGCCCGTGGGCCGTAGTTTGCCCACGGCTGTTCCAGAGGGTGGGAACACAGGCAAAATCAAACAGAAGGCAATACCGTATGTGAAGGGCCATACTTGGCAATTCTGAGTTACAAGAGCATAAACTCCAGGCATGGAGCAATGGGACAAGAGAGAAGAGAAAGGGCACAGGCCTAAGCCCAAAGGCTGTTCTCAGATACCATCATCCAAAGCCGGCGTGTGTTCTGCACTCTGGCTGCAGCATAGAGAAAAAACTCAAGGGGGCGGGCCTGGAAATATGAAGACAGGTAAAGAGGCTGCTGGGAGATTCAGGGAAGAGATGCACCTGCCTGAACACGAGCGCTGGCAGAGATCAATTTGAGAGACAGGTAGAAGGCAAAATGAGCAGAAGGCAATTATAGTTTCCCTTCCCCTTCCAGACTCATGGAAGCGGGCACACCCCACACCCACTGTAGAGACACAGTCCCCGTGAGAATGAGATGGTGCTCTGCCACGCAGGCAGCGTGGAGATGCTATGAAGAACGCTGGCTGTCTGGACTGGTGGGTGGATGGAGTCTGCACTTTTCATACTTGCCAAAGGCAACTCAGCAGTTCAGAGGGAAGTCATCAGACCACTGCGCATGAGGCAACAAGTCCCAATTCTCCATTCCCCTGCAAGCGTAGTGTGAACTTTGCCTCAGATCCGACCTGAGGACTTTGGTCCCGTGAGCCTGGCCTCAAAGAAGGAGCAGAGAAGGATTGGAAGAGAAACACCAATTCAAATTGAAACAAAACCTTCATTATCAGTGAGAGGCGGCCAGGTGAACTAGAAAGTGCGGGCCTGCGATACATGTTCTCATTCGGTGCCTCCAGACCAGTGGTTCTCAACCTTCTGACCCTTTAAATACAGTTCCTGCCCTAACCGGTTTGGCTCAGTGGATAGAGCATCAGCCTGCGGACTCAAGGGTCCCAGGTTTGATTCCGGTCAAGGGCATGTACCTTGGTTGCAGGGACATCCCCAGTAGGGGGTGTGCAGGAGGCAGCTGATCGATGTTTCTCTCTCATCGATGTTTCTAACTCTCTATCCCTCTCCCTTCCTCTCTGTAAAAAATCAATAAAATATATTTTAAAAAATAAATAAATAAATAAATAAATACAGTTCCTCATGTTGTGACCCCCAACCATAAAATTATTTTCGTTGCTACTTTATAACTGTAATGTTGCTACTGTTATGAATCGTAATGTAAATATCTGATATGCAGGATGGTCTTAGGCGACCCCTGTGAAAGGGTCCTTCAACCGCCAAAGGGGTCGCGACCTACAGGTTGAGAATCGCTGCTCCAGACCCACCAAGCCATGAATCTAAGGACCCAGAGGGGAAGCCCCACAAGGGCTGGGAAAGAAGAGCCTGCAGGGGGATGGGGGTGGGGGTAAGAAGGCAAAGTGTGGCAGTGTTAGGGGCAAAAATAGAATATTGGGGACTAGCTATAGTTATGTGGACAAAAGGGGCCACATACTAACCTGACAAGCTCCGGGAAGGCCTGCATGGCGGTCTTGCAAACTCTAAGACCTAAAGTAACCACAAGGATGGTCTGAAATTAAACTTTAACTAAAAGCAGTTATGGTGGGTGGTTCCGTCCTAGGCTGGTATCTTCCCTGACAAGGTCAATCTTTACCTTAACTGAGCCTATTGTCTTTTTGCATGTAGGATAACATATCCTTGAAATGTCTGGGTAACTTGTAACTTCCCTTTTTCCTGGATCCCTCAGGGCACAACCAAATGCCCTGGGCGCCAAGACAGATGCCACAAATTCCTTCATTGTTATTATCATATTAATTGTTGCCTGTTAACTATCCTGTACCCACCTAAGTAAAAGAAGTACTGTCGCCGAAAACGGTTTGGCTCAGTGGAAAGAGCGTCAGCCTGCGGACTGAAGGGTCCCAGGTTCGATTCTGGTCAAGGGCGTGTGCCTTGGTTGCGGGCACATCCCCAGTAGGAGATGTGCAGGAGGCAGCTGATCGATGTTTCTCTCTCATCGATGTTTCTAACTCTCTGTCTCTCTCCCTTCCTCTCTGTAAAAAATCAATAAAATATATTTTTAAAAAAAAAAATTTAAAAAAAAAGAAGTACTGTCTTTATCATTTTACTTTTTATCCAATCCCAGAGTTGTCGTCCCCCCCGCCCCCCGCCCTCCGCCCCCTTTGCTTTCTCCCACCTCTCTAATCTATCACCAATGGAGTTCATAGAACCCACGTACGTCTCCTCCTCTGAATGTAATGTATAAAACAAGGGGAAAAACACCATTCTCCAGAGCATTATCCCACCCGCTGAGATTCTGCTTCCCAGCAATTGTCGACAGTTTGGCTCAAACTCACAAAAATTCTTTACAGGTTTGAATGTGTTTACGTTGTTATAAGAAATACTAGAGACAGAACCTGGCTGGAGAACCTAGTGAGAGAACATGGCAAGAGAACCTGGCAAGAACTTGGCTGGAGATCCTGGCTAGAGAACCTGGCTGTAGAACCTGGCTACAGAGAACCCAACCATGCTGATCAACTGAACCCTGCATCCGTGTCATTCCTTCTTCGCTGACTCCGTCCACACCTTTGGGAACCCCTGGACCTGTTGGGGCTGGACCCCAACATAACACTATATAATAATAATTATTATTATTTTTTAAATGAAAATTAAGTTTCTCTAAGAAAAAAAAATAGAAATACTAGAGGCCCGGTACACAAAAATTTGTGCACGTGGCGGGGGGGGGGGGGGTCCCTCAGCCCAGCCTGTGCCCTCTCCCAGTCTGGGACCCCTCGGGGGATGACCACCTGCTGGCTTAGGCCCGCTCCCTGGGGGATTGGGCCTAAGATGGCAATCAGACATCCCTCTGGCAGCCCGGCAGCCCTCGGGGGATGTCCACTTGCCAGCGGGGAGCAGACCTAAGCTGCAGTCGGACATCCTTAGCACTGCTGAGGAGGCAGGAGAGGCTCCCACCACCACCGCTGTACTGGCAGCCATCAGCCTGGCTTGTGGCTGAACAGAGCTCCTCCATGTGGGAGCACACTGACCACCAGAGGGCAGCTCCTGCATTGAGCGTCTGTCCCCTGGTACGCAGTGTGTCATAGTGACCAGTCATTCCCAGTCTTTCTGCTGTTAGGGTCAGTTTGCATATTACCCTTTTACTATATAGGATAGAGGCCTGGTGCACGGGTGGGGCCAGCTGGTTTGCCCTGAAGGGTGTCCTGGATCAGGGTGGGGTTCCTGCTTGGGTGCCTGGCCAGCCTGGGTGAGGGGATGATGACTGTTTGCAGCTGGTCACACCCCCTTCAGGGTGGGGGTCCCGCTTGGGTGCCTGGCCAGCCTGGATGAGGGGATGATGGCTGTTTGCAGCTGGTCACACCCCCTTCAGGGTGAGGGTCCCCACTGGGGTGCCTGGCCAGTCTGGGTGAGGGGCTGAGGGCCATTTTCAGGCTGGCGGGTGACTGAAGCTCCCAACCTCTCCTTTTTTTCTTTTTTTTTTTATTCTGGGATTTATTTACCTTCTATGGCTGTCACTGGAGCTGAGAGCCGGCTTTAGCTCTGAGGCTCGGCTCCAGCTCTGAGACCTCGGCTGCTGAAAGCAGGTATCTGGGTTTGTTTAGCTTCTATAATTGAAACACTGTTGCAACTCCAGCTCTGAGGCCCAGCTGGCTGAAAGCAGGTTTCTGGGGATTGTTTAGCTTCTATAATTGCAACATTGTTTCTTAGAGTGCAGCTCAGAGGCCGGCAGTGGCAGGCGGGGAACCTTAGCTTCCTCCATCACTGGAGCAAGCAAGCCTCATGTTCGCTTCAGCTGCCTGGCTGCCAGCTGCCATCTTGGTTGGCAGTTAATTTGCATATCTCGCTGATTAGTCAATGGGAAGGATAGCAAAGTTATGGTTAATTACCATGTTTCTCTATTATTAGATAGTATAGTAAGAGT